CTTTCTTATAATAGTCTTCAATTAAGTTTTGCAGGTGAGAAAACTAGGACACAGAGGTTAAATATTTTCCCTTGTCTCTTCATCAAGTCAATTACAAAATTAATCTGCAAGCTATGGACTCCAAAGTTGACAAAAGTAGACCAAAATTCTAGTTGAATGATATTTGAAACCAGACCAAGGGGCAGACATTCTGAGTATAGAAATTTGAAGAAGGGAAAAAAATCTGTGTTCTTAGAGTGCATATAGGAAACTCATGTGGTAGGTAACATGTGAACCTGAAATGCAGGCTACAAATTCACCAGGGAAAGAAAGAAAATATTTTCACAGGCAGAAAATAAATTATTCCTTAAGAAATTGCCATTCATTTATGGTTTAATTCTTTTGTTATGCATTATTCTTATAAAAGGACAATGGAGGGCTCAACAAATATTGATTGCCTATGAAATATTAAATCCTATGCCTCTTTATAAGCCTTCTCTCAACCCCCACCACAAACTAATATTTTCCATCCATTAAATGGGAGTGAATCCATATTAAATGTAAAAAGATAAGTGAGGCATATACATAGAACAGTACTTGGCATACATTTTACAGGTAAAGAAACTGCCTTGTGGGAGATCAAATACTGTGCCTTCAAGTATCCAGCTAGAGGAGAAAAGAGGGGATTGTAACCCATGTATATCATACCTTCACAGCCTTTTAATTAAGCCAGACAAATTTATTTGTCTAGGGTTAAACTGAGGCAGAACTTTAATAGACAATGTAGGCATTCAAGGAGGCAAGAATACTCTGCCCCAAACTAAATCTCAAAGGTTTGATTGCCCCACAACCCCCGCCCATTTATATCTTCACTAGTAGCCCTGTGCACGAATCTATGCGCCAGTAGCTCACTGCCACCTGCCTCAGCTGGCCACCCTGTCCACCGCTGCTGGTAGCTCTCAGCCGCTTGTAGCTCGCTGCTCCGCCCTCCTGTAGCTCTCCCCACTCTTAGCTCGCTGCCCTGTCCTCCTGTGGCTCTCTGCTGCTTGTAGATTGTTTGTCCTGGCTAATTTCATATTCCTCTTTATTATATTAAATTTCAGGAACCTGAAGCTTCATGAAATCACCATCAATTCCAATTGCTTAAAATTAGATAGATAGTGTGAGCAAGACAGAGAAATAGATATTAGACATTTATACGTTACTGTGATTTTACTACCATGCTTGAACTCTTCCTTACATCTTCTTTATATTGTAAACCTTTTCTATGATATATAATTAACAAATATACATTTTCAGTTGACTTCAGTGACCAGTAAAAGTTGAGGTGTCAGAAGATCCCTTAGTCATTACAAGCAGATTCTATCCTTTGATTTAGCAAAACCAAACCGTATTCAGGTATCAAAAGAATGTAAAGTCACCAGGCTTTACAGAATCCCCAAAGTAATAAAATGAACCAGTTTCAAGGGAACAAGAATGACCTTCATTAAGTAGTTTTAAAAATTAGTTATGTTAATACATCTTCAGTCCATAGGAGCAGCAGTCAAATGAAAATAGGTTTAAAGAGTGGCTCTGGCCTCTGTGGTGTGTGTACCCTGGGACAGATATCATCTTTTATAATAACTTTTCTGTATTTCTTGACCAGATTATTGAAAAGTGCTTAATGAGCAGCTTCCCTCAGAGAAAATATCAAGTTCTCAGAAGCAGTTGCCATGAGAGATACTCTTCAAAGCCTGATAATGTCATGTTTATACTTTTACATTTCTTCCTGGAGTATTAAACATGGTGGTGCTTTCCTTTATTCCTCGTTAAAACTGTGGACGAAAGGGGCCACATGCTGACCTGACAGGCTCAAGGGAGGCCTGCATAGCAATCTTGCAGACTCAAAGACCTAAAGTGACCACAAAGGATGGTCTGAAATTAAACTTTAACTAAAAGCAGTTATGGTGGGCAGTTACGTCCTAGGCCAGTATCTTCACTGACAAGGTCAACCTTTACCTTAAGAACAGGAACAAGACAAGGATGCCCACTCTCACCACTCCTGTTCGACATAGTTCTGGAAGTATTAGCCATTGCAATTAGACAGGAAGAAGAAATAAAAGGCATCCAAATTGGAAAAGAAGAAGTAAAACTGTCCTTATTTGCAGACTACATGATATACATAAAAAACCCTAAAGACTCCATCAAAAAACTATTAGAGTTAATAAATGAATTTGGCAATGTAGCAGGATACAAAATTAATGCCAAGAAATCTATGGCATTTCTATACACCAATAGTGAACTTATCAAAAGAGAGACTAAATAAACAATCCCATTTACCATCCCACCAAAATAAAATTAAGATACCTAGGAATAAACTTAACTGAAGAGGTAAAAGACTTCTACTCAGAAAACTACAGGATGATGAAAAAAGAGATAGTGGAAGACATAAATGAAAGGGCGAGGGCTACGCCCTCCATCTTGCCCCAGAGTAAGGGCTACGCCCTCCATCTTACCTTGGCCATGTGCTCCGCAATGCTTCTTCCCGGAAGCCCAAGCCTCTGCTAGCCACACCCAGGACTTCTTTAAACTAACCAATGACAATCAAGAGAAGTTGCCATTGATATGACCACATCCTGTGTAACAAGACACCAACTTGGCCTGACCAATCGTCAGGGCCCACAGTCCTTTCTCATCCCCTTACTCCAACCCCTCTATAAAACCTCTCTCCACACAGAGTTCTCTCTCTCTGCTTCCTGCCACTGCGTTGGCGAGGTGGGGGAGCCGAGCTAGCTCGAATAAAGACTCTTATGCTATTGCATCGGACCTGGCTGGCTCCCTGGTGTGGTTTCTTGGGGATCCTGAAATCTGGGCATAACAATAAACAGATGAAAGAACATACCATGTTATTGGATTGGTGTCATGTATGACTCCCTCCACGTTCTGCGTGGAGTAGGGTTCGGTATCTGAAAGAGGGGCCGCACACAAATGAGAGAGAAATGACACGAGATAATTTTGCAATATTGGGGGACCAGGCGGGCAAGTCCCAAAGGACTTCCACCAATGCTCAGGCCGCTTCAACCTTTTATTTGATCTGGGGTAGCCTTAGGGCAAGGAGGTTTGAATGACACACAGATACTATCATGATTAAAGGTAGGGAGGTTGCTTCAGCTATTTACATGATTAAAGGTAGGGAGGTTGCTTCAGCTACCATTATCTAGATTAACTGGGTGGTTCCTAGATTAACTGGGTGGTGCACAGTCCTGACCTTTGCTAGGACTTCAAAGGTTACTAGCTTTTGGGGGTCTCTGTCTAAACTCAGCTAGTGAAGACAATGAATGGACTCTGGCAGATTGGTAGAATTAATATCATTAAAATGTCCATACTACCCAAAGCAATCTATAAATTGAATGCACTTCCCATTAAAATACCAAGGGAATATTTCACAGACCTAGAATGAACTCTCCAAAAATTCATCTGGAATAAAAAAAGACCCTGAATAGCTGCAGTGATCCTGAGAAAGAACAAAATAGGTGGGATCTCAATACCAGATATCAAGCTGTATTACAAAGCCACTGTTTCTCAAAACTGCCTGGTACTGGCACAAGAACAGATATATAGACCAATGGAATAGAATAGGGAGCCCAGAAATTGATCCGAACCTATATGCTCAATTAATATTTGACAAAGAGGGCAAGAACTTACAATGGAGTCAAGATAGTCTCTTCAATAAATGGTGTTGGGAAAATTGGACAGATACAGGCAAAATAATGAAGCTAGACCAGCAACTTACACCATACACAAAAATAATCTCAAATTGGATAAAGGACTTAAATGTACGACGGGAAACCATAAAAATACTAGAAGAATCCCAAAGCAACAAAATCTCAGACATATGACGAAGCAATTTATTCACCGATACAGCTCCTAGGGCATTGGAAACTAAAGAGAAAATAAACAAATGGGACTACATCAAAATAAAAAGCTTCTGCACAGCAAAAGAAACCATCAACAAAACAACAAGAAAGCCCACTACATGGGAGAACATATTTACCAATGTTATCACCAATAAGGGCTTAATCTCCAACATTTATAGGGAACTCATACAACTTAACAAAAGGAAGATAAACAATCCAATCAAAAAATGGGCAATGGACCTAGATAGACACTTTTCAAAAGAGGACATTCAGAAAGCCAAGAGACATATGAAAACATGCTCAAAGTCACTAATCATCTGAGAGATGCAAATCAAAACAAAAATGAGGTACCATCTCACACATGTCAGAACGACTATCATCAACAAATCAACAAACGACAAGTGCTGGAGAGGATGTGGAGAAAAAGGAACACTTGTGCACTGCTGGTGGGAATGCAGACTGGTGCAGCCACTATGGAAGACAGTATGGAGTTCCTCAAAAAACTAAAAATGGAACTCCCATTTGACCCTGTGATCCCACTTCTAGGAATATATCCCAAGAAAACAGAAACACCAATCAGAAAGGATCTATGCACCCCTACGTTCATAGCAGCACAATTCACCATAGCTAAGATCTGGAAACAGCCTAAGTGCCCATCAGTAGATGAATGGATTAGAAAACTGTGGTACATCTACATGATGGAATACTATGCTGCTGTTAAAAAGAAGGAATTCTTACCATTTGCAACGGCATGGATGGAACTGGAGAGCATTATGCTAAGTGGAATAAGCCAGTCAATGAAGGAAAAACACCACATGATCTCACTCACTCATGGATAATAAAGACCATTATAAACTTATGAACAAAAATAGATACAGAGACAGAGCTGCCTTGAACAGACTGTCAAACTACAGCGGGAAGGTTGGGGAGGGGTGGGGGGCAGGAGGGGGGGTGGTAAGAGATCAACCGAAGGACTTGTATGCATGCATATAAGCATAATCAATGGACATAAGACACTGGGGGGTAGGGGAGGCCAGAGGATTGTCAAGGGCGGGGAAAAAAAGGAGACATAAGTAATACTCTTTGTAATACTTTAATCAATAAAACAATTTTAAAAAAATGAATTAAAACATTACATCTGGTGAACAGCAAAGATTTCACTACACCTCAAATGCAGAACACCTATGAAGCAGAGGAATGTTGGCTTTTTAAACAGAAGCAGATAAAAAAAAAGATGCAGGAATCCTTCAGTTCTTCACTAGTCTTAGAAAAACTTTCCAGAATACTGCTTCACACTCTAATAAGAAAAAATATCTTGCATTAGAATCCTTCAACATCTGCATACTGCTTCACACTGTTTTGCAGCAAATACTGTGCATTCCGTATCTGGTCCTCTGTTCCTGAAATGGTAATGATCCGATCTTCAGACCCTCCTAAAGGCTCATCAATTTTGATCGAAGCTCCTGACTCATGTTGAGTTTGTTTAATCCTCTGACCACCTTTGCCAATTATAGATCCAGCCAGATCTTTGGGAATAGTTACTTGTGTTGTAATAATAGGTCCACCAAGTTCACCATATGAGCCACGACCCCCTGCGTAGGAATAATCATATCCAGAGCCACCCTGTGGTTCATAAGCCATCTGCCATTCTGAAGGGCTCCATGCATCTATTGCAGAGTCCCATGTTTCATCTACCATGCCATCATAACGATCTCCAGGTCTTCCTCTCCTGTCATAGGCCATTATATCCCCCCCTCTAGGTGGTGGTGAAAGAGGAAGAGGAAGATTGCGAGCTCTGCTACCACCCCAGCCACCTCGTCCAGGAGGAGGGGGAGGAGGTCCTCGCCAAGGGCTCATATCATCATAATCTCTTCTAGATGGAGGCATGAGGTGCCCACCACGACCAGGAGGCATCCTGTCAAAACCACTTCTTCCCCGCATGGGAAATCCCACAGGACAGCCACGGCGGTCATCAGACATCATTGTAAAGCCACCATAATCATAAGTTTCATCATAAAAGTTGGGATCATAAGGCTGTGCATGTCCTTTGATGGGCGACTCTGATATAAGTTCAAGGATGATCTTTATGCACTCTACAACCTTATCAGGTTTTCCTCCAATAAGAACGACTCTGTCAGTGGAATGAGGACAGCATTCCTGGAAAAGCTTGATTTTTGTCTGAGTATTCTCTCGAATTTCTTTGATTTTAGCACCTTTGACCCCAATAATCCTTCCTGCCAGACTCTGATGAATCAACAGTCTCAATTCACAGTCAAAGTCGCTTCCTTTATAGTGTTGGTAATTTAAGCATTCCACAGCATCAGATTCGAGCGGGAGCTGGCTGGTTGCAGTGGGTGATGGCAACCACAGGCCCTCTTCCAAGGTAGGGATGATTTTCTTCAGAATTTCTCCAATTGCTTCAATATCAGCACTGATACGCAATATGCGCTCAGGGCCACTGCTGTCTGGGACTGAAACACTGGCATTGTAGTCTGTACGCAGAGCCTTAATATTCTTGCCTCCTTTTCCAATCACTGCCCCAGCATTCTTGCTCTGAAGCAGAATGCGTAATTCAACCATCTCATCGGTGTTCCTAGATCTTTTAAAAGCTTGTTCCTCTTCCATATCTTCTGCAGGGCGTTTACCAAATTCACGGTTGGTTTTGGTGCTGTGGAAGATTTCCTCTGGCTGTTCAGTTTCCATTTTCTTGGATTATATGGACACACCAATCTATAGGCTGTAAACAAGCGGGATGTAAGCAAGACATAGAGGTTGGTGCAGCAGAGAAGCAGAGGATAATGGTGTCTGTCTGATTCGTAGGCATAGCTAAATTGCTCTTAGATTGAGCTGGAGACAATAATGATGTGTCCTCTCTAGGAGGAACCGAGGGACTATTTAAAGGTTGAGAAAGTTCAACCGTTTCTGCCTCTAGTGCCAAGGTGTCATGAATTAAATTCCAGAGGGAAAAGGTATCTGCCGGGACCTTCTCAGATCCATGGTATCTGTAATAATTCTTTAATTGCTCTCCTACTTTAGTCCAAGTTTCTAAATTAACAGTTCCTTCCTCAGGAAGCCATGGACATACTTCTTGTATAAAACTTTCTGTCTGACTGGGAATATCCTTAACTCCTCTGCTAGCAAGCATATGTGTTAAAAGATTAATAGAGTCTTTTTTCTTTAGACTCAGTATGACCCATCTTCTCAATCTAAGTTCTGTACTATCCACCATCATACCCTACTTATCCTCTATAGGGGGGTCTGCAGAACCCTACAGTGCAGTATCCGTCCCGAGTGCAGGGGGGCTTACCTAAGGGTCCCTGTTTGGGCACCAATTATTGAGATCCAACCCCAGCAGGTCCAGGGGTTCCCAAGGGTGTGGACGGAGTCGGCGGGGAGTGAGTGGCACGGAGAAGGCGTTCAGTTGATCGACAGCCTAGCCAGGTTCTCTAGCCAGGATCTCGAACCAGGTTCTGTGTTTTATTGTCTTGTTACATCTGTATTTATACCAGTTGATTTTAATCCTATCAATTCCTATTCCAAGGTTTAAGGCGTTTCTTATCTCCATTCCAGGGAGTAAAGATTATGTAGCTTAAGCGTGATTGTTCCTAGTTAAAGTTATTAACTACCCGCCTGGCACTTAGTTAAGGGTTTTATTCCCTCCCTAACCTCAGGGGAAAATCCCTACCTGGGGAAACAGCCTTTCTCGGAGAGGTGACCTTGGTTACAACACATAGCGCCAAGAAGGGGAGAAAACATATTAAGAACAGTATGCCATATATGCCAGGTCCCTTGAAACATATGCTGTGCAGATGTTTCTTCCCTGCAGCGACTGTGTCAAGCAGCAAGGAAGGACCGGCTTCTGGCACAAACTGACACCATGTGACCCAAAGCCCCATCCTAAATCATTGTTAGACTATCTGGGGTTGCCCAAGAACCCAGGCAAAAAGAAATTCAACCTAAGGCCTTATGATCACCTCCCAAGCATCAAGGGTAAAGGCCAGACCCCTCTTTGAATAAGGTTACTTCTTTACTACATAAGGCACTACGAGGTCAAGCTCTCTGCATCTCACAGGCTTCCCTCCATCCACTCTTCCCTTCACCACTTCTCTGCAGCCACACTGGCCTCTGTGCTACACCCAACATGCTCAGGACATCCCACTCATGGCTTTTGCACTTGCTGTTCCCTCTGTCTGCTACCCCTCCTCCAACTGTGCATGTGCTTTATTCCCTCACATCCTTCAGGTCTCTCCTCAGAATCCCCCTGCTAATAAGTCCCTCCCTCATCACCTTATGTAAAACAGTAACCTCACTCCTACACACCAGCCTTTGCCAGCTGCCTCACAGTTTCACTTGCCACTCTAATCCAAACCACCACCACCATTTTCCCTGAACTGCACATTAATAGCCTGCCACTTCGCACTGTCACATCAATGTTTGTTTGCTGACTATCTCACCTATAGATTGTATGCTCCCTGTTGGCCAGTATCCTTGCTGCTTTGTTCACCATTTTGGTCCAACATCCAGAACAGTGCCTGACGTATAATAGGTGTTCAATAAATATTCAGTGAATATGCCTCCAAGAGCATGAATAAGGAACCAGCTGGCCATAGAGGATGAGGAAATAACTCCTTCAAAAGTTGCCTTGGTTTCTTTTAGACACTGATCAGGTAAAAACATTTTTAAGTGTTAAAGAAAGAACTAGTTTCATAACCCAATTTTATACTGATCTTCCTCCTGTTGGAGTCTGCCCATCCTCGAAGCCTGGGAGTCTCTGATTCAGTTTATTTTGTTCTTTTTCTTCCCTCCTCCATTCACCTGCTGGTGATTCTCCAAGGAATTACAAATGATGCCAGTGTTTGACACATGGGAGAACTGGGATGGATGGCCTGTCATGTCAAGTCCAGGTGCAAGTTCATAAACTATTCCTTTTGTAGCTCTTCTCCCTGCTACTGTCACTCTGCTCTCTTCTTTCCTTCAGTGTCCTGGCTCCCTATTGACATCTCTTTATAGTAGCCCCCAGCAACTGAACCCCAGTCTCAAGAACAAAAAAAAAAAAAAAACAAAAAAAAAGAAAGCCAAAGTCACTAATCATCCAAGAAATGCAAATCAAAACAAAAATGAGGTACCATCTCACACCTGTCAGAATGGCTATCATCAACAAATCAATGAACGACAAGTGCTGGAGAGGATGTGGAGAAAAAGGAACACTCGTGCACTGCTGGTGAGAATACAGATGGTACAGCCGCTATGGAAGACAGTATGGAGTTTCCTCAAAAACTAAAAATGGAACTCCCATTTGACCCCGTGATCCCACTTCTAGGAATATATCCCAAGAAAACAGAAACACCAATCAGAAAGGATATATGCACCCTTATGTTCACAGCAGCGCAATTCACCATAGATAAGATCTGGAAACAGCCTAAGTGCCCATCAGTAGATGAATGGATTAGAAAACTGTGGTACATATACACGATGGAATATTATGCTGCTGTTATAAAGAAGGAATTCTTATCATTTGCAATGGCATGGATGGAACTGGAGAGCATTATGCTAAGTGAAATAAGCCAGTCAATGAAGGAAAAACACCACATGATCTCACTCACTCATGGATAATAAAGACCATTGTAAACTTATGAACAAAAATAGATACAGAGGCAGAACAGCCTCGAACAGACTGTCAAACTACAGCGGGAAGGCCGGGGAGGTTTTGGGGGCAGGAGGGAGGGGGGGTGAGAGTCCAACCGAAGGACTTGTATTCATGCATCTAAGCATAACCAATGGACATAAGACACTGGTGGGTAGGGGAGGGCAGGGGATTTGTCAAGGGTGGGAAAAAAGGAGACATATGTAATACTCTTTGTAACACTGTAAGCAATAAAACAATAAAAAAAAAACAGGAGGAGAGTCTAAGGGAACTTTGGGACAACATGAAACAAAGCAAGATCAGCATAATAGAGGTTCCAGTAGGAGAGGAAACTGAGAAAGGAATAGAAAACCTGTTTGAAGAAATAAAGACAGAAAACTTCCCTGATATTGGGAAGAAAAAATTCACACAAGTCCAAGAAGCTCACAGAGTCCCAAACAAGATGAACCAAAAAAGACTGACACCAAGACACATTATAAATAAATTGCAAACACAAATGACAAAGTAAGTATCTTAAAGGCTGGCAGAGAGAGGCAGAAAGACACCTACAAGGGATCTCCCATCAGACTATCAACTGATTTCTCAACAGAAAAACATCAGGCCATAAGGGAATGGAATGAAATATACAAAGTGTTGCAAAGCAAAGGACTGAATCCAAGAATACTATACCCAGCAAGGCTATCAATCAAAACTGAAGGTGAAATCAGTAGCTTCACAGACAAAAAAGGACAAGGGAGTTTATTACCACCAAACCAGCAATGGAAGAAATGATAAAGGGTCTGCTGTAAGAAGAAGAAATGGGAAAGGGAGAAGGAACACAGGCATAAAGAATAAAAATGGTGACAGGTACTATCAATAATAAGTTTAAATGTAAATGGATTAAATACCCCAATCAAATGACATAGGGTAGCTGAGTGGATAAGAAAACATGATCCATATATCTGCTGTCTACAGGAGACCCACCTCAGAGCAAAGGACTCACACAGACTGATAGTGAAGGGATGGAAAAAAAATTTTTCTGGTGAATGGAAATGAAAAAAATGTTGGGGTAGCAATACTTATATCTGACAAATTAGACTTCAAAGTGAAGGCCATAAGAAGAGATAAGGAAGGCCACTTCATAATACTAAAGGGAGCAATTCAACAAGAAGATATAACACTGGTAAACATATATGCACCCAATACAGGACCACCCAAATACATTAAAAAAAAAAAAAAACTTCTGGAAGATATCAAGGGAGAGATCGACAGCAATACTGTCATACTAGGGGACTTTAATACTCCACTAACACCACTGGATAAATCCTCTAAACAAAAACTCAGCAAAGAAACATCAATCCTAAATGACTCACTTAATCAGATGGAATTAATTGACATCTTCAGAACATTTCACCCCACAGCCACAGAATGTACTTTCTTCTCAAGTACATAAGGGTCATTTTCAAAGACCACATATTGGGACAAAGGAAAAGTCTCTACAAATTCAAGAAGACAGAACATATCAAGAATTTCCTCAGACAGCTGATCGATGTTTCTAACTCTCTATCTCTCTCCCTTTCTCTCTGTAAAAAATCAATAAAATATTTTTTTTAAAAGAATTTCCTCAGATCACCATAGCATAAAATTTGAAATCAACTACAATAAAAACAATGAAAAAATCAAACACATGGAGGCTAAATAGCATGCTATTAAACAATGATTAGGTTACCAAAAAGATCAAAGAAGAAATAAAAAAAGCATCCTGGAAACAAACAACAATAAAAAACACAACAATGCAAAATCTATGGGACACAGTGAAAGTAGTCTTGAGAGGGAAGTTAAAACAAGAAAAATGGTAATAAATTATCAAACCCCACAACTCAAAGAGTTAGAAAGACAACAAGAAAGGCTCAGTGTAAGCAGAAGGAAGGAAATACTAAAGATAAACGCAGAAATAAACGACATAGAGACAAATATATATATATATATATAAAACAAAACAAAAAACAAAACAAGAGCTGGTTCTTTGAAAGGATAAACAAGATTGATGAACCTCTAGCCAGGCTCACCAAGAAGCAAAGAGAGAGGACCCAAATAAAATTAGAAATGAAAGAGGTGAAGTAACAATTTCAAAATACAAAGGATTA